ATTCGAACCGCCATTGTTTTGGTAGCGAATACGTATGCGCATGTCAGCCGAACTCGCACTGCGCACGCGCAGACAGGAAAAATGGATTTTCCCTGTGGGTTTCCCCCGAAAAACAACAAAATAAAATCACGGAATAGAGATCAAACCTTGTAATAACAAATAAATACACACAATTTAAATATTGTTTAAAACGCATTGTACATTTTGCTTGCTCATATGCTAAGCAACTTCAATTCATTGGCTATTGTTTCTCAAAATACCGTTTTAACGTTTAATTCTAATTTTTAACATCCCAAATCAATACAAATTTGTGCGAGGTAAAAACCCACCTGTATCAAACAGGACGGAGAATATATAAATATCGATGGTGGATAAATATCGGCTGTTAACAATCGGTATCGGTAATCAGCTTTTTTCAGACATCGGCTCACCATTAATCCACAGTATTTATATTATAAACAAGTATTTCCCTTTCATGGCTGAGAAGCTGAAACGCACCCTGGTGGGGGAGTTCAAACGGACCCTTGGCGCAGTAGCAAATCTACAAGAAAACGTCAACTAGTATGTGCACGAAAAGCCAGGTTGAATCGTTCCTTGTTATTCTAGATAGTAGCTAAATACCAACTTATGTCACAATATAATATATAGTAGAACTTTACCAGACAAAAGCTAGGACAGCTCATTGCAGAATACATGCAATCTCGTTTTGAGCGTATAGGCCGTTGGCCAGGATCCAATAAGTGGGATTTTATTGCATTGATAAAATTCTGGGCTGAAGGATGAAAACATTAAAATTTTCTTTCAGTTATAGATAGTCATGATGAAATTATGGATTATATATTTCCTCACAATTTATCTTTTCTAATGACGAATTTCGAGTTGGTGCCTGGGAGATGTTTCTTCAGTTCACAGTTAAACAGCCTTCACTGGTGCAGTTCAGTTTCGCCGGTTGGAAAAGATGGTTGGAACGAATGGAAAAGTTGGTCCAAATCCAAGATTGGTATCATAGAATATACTTAAGCGATGGATGGGACGCACAATTTAAGAAGCGCCAAACATATCTTGCATAGTTGATAGTATTCAATACATTAAAAATCCAATCAGAGGTTTTCCTAGTAGTTTATATACATATCCCTTTATTTAAAGACCGGGACAAACTGGGAAACATTGTTGCGCAAAGATATTTGTCATATTTATACTTGTCTTACCAATGTTTCAGTATGTCATTACTAGCGTCGGCAAACAGGGAAAGAGTGTTTCATCAAATGTTTCTGAATTTGGTAGGGAATATTTTTGCTTTCCGGGAAGCAACTTTTGTTTCTTTAATAAAAGCCAATATGTTTCCAGATATTGGAGACAGGGAAAACTTTGAGCAAACACTGAAAATCACGAATATTTCCAAGGCTTTAGTTTAGCGAAAAATTTAATTTGTTCCTTGATTGTGTAAATTGTATGTATATTTATATATTCTCCGTCCTGTTTGATACAGGCAAGTTTTTACCTCAAACAAATTTGTATTGAATTAGGATGTAATCATTAATAAGTAGAATTAAACGTTATAACGGTATTCTGAAAAACTGAGCCAATGGCAATGAATTGAAGTGATTTAGCATATGAGCGAGCAAAATATACAAGAAGGTGTTTTAAACAATATTTAATTTCTGTGTATTATTTATTCGTTAATATTACAAGGTTTGATCTTTACTCCGTGATTTTATTTTGTTGTTTTTACGGGGGGAAATCGGGGAAAACCCATTTTTCCTGTCTGTGCGTGCGCAGTGCGAGTTCGGCTGAAATGCGCATGCATATATGCTACCAAAACCATGGCGGTTTGAATATTTCGAAGCGGGAAAATATCAAACTTTGGAGGAATATTTGTCCCAATTGTGCACCTGTTTCGCTTGGGGAGCAACAGATTCTGATAAAGTAAGTTTTTATCTATTGATTCATGCGAAAATTACGTAGTTCCACAAGGGGTGCAACGGAATTGCATCTTTTGGATGCTCATCCTACGGCCTATGATCATCCCGCAAAGAAATACAAAATTGTTAATTAATTTAAAAAGTATTTTAACCCATTGAGTGGCAGCACTCTCCACTTGACGAGTAAAATAGTTTGGCGTTAGACAGAGTAAAATACTAAAAGCAGGACGCATCAGGGTGCCGGGTGCATTGCCACTCAAAGGGTTAATTAACTGTATTGTATATACAATATGTGGTGTTTGCTCACTGTTTGGAAAGTATTGATTGAGACTTGATTTACCACCCCACGGACGCCAGGGATCAAAATAAAATAGAAAAATTGTCCAACCAAATTAAAAAATTTCCGATCAAATTTCACTTTGATGGGAATTTTTTCCGGACAACCTTTGAATATAAATAATATATTTCAACTTCAAAAGTCAAAACTTGCATGCTGAACTTCAGCTGAAGTAGCGAAATATCTCTCCCCATTCTAATCCATACTATTTCACCCTTTAGGTCAAGTAAATATGTACCTACCCTGAACAGCGCTCAAACTCATCCAAGAGTTCAAGTAGTATTTCTTTAGTACTTTTTTTCTCTATTTTTTCACCTTCTTCGTCCTCCATATTGGTTGCCCGATTTCAGGTCTTTCTGTCAGGCAATCAGGCAACTTTCCTTTGATTGATCCACTGATCTGTAGACACTGGATTGATCTAGTAATCAAAATGGCGTCCGGCGAGTCGTCAACAAATGGCAAGGAGGACAGTGCAAAAAGCACTCCCAGGGATGCTAGGGCGATGAAAGCGATCTTGAAAGAAATGGGAGTAGAAGATTATGAACCTAGAGTAATAAATCAGATGTTGGAATTTACGTATCGTAAGTAAGAGGCCAAAGTTGCTGATCAGTGATCTGTGATCACTGATCATTCATCAATCATCACACCGATTCACTGTCATAGCATGATCACAGTGATCGATTGTTGATGATGTATCACAGTATCACCTTTGTGGTATCACCGTTACTTTGTCGAAACTAGTGTCAGTATAAATGTTCAGTACGTTGCAGTATATGTTTATGATGTGTCCTAGACAGTGTCCACACTGGGCAAACTGAAAAGTTCGCCTGACCAGGATGAGAATCGAACCCACGACCTTTGGTTTGCTAGTCCAATACTCTACCAACTGAGCTACGAGGTCAAGTTGGTTTGAGTGGGTGATATTTCGGAACTGAGTATAGTTCCTACGATATCACTCATATCAGTATGTTTTTACGATCTTGGATTTTTTATGATCTTCAATCAATTTGAGTCTAGGGTGCATTCCATGTAAACTCTACGCCGAATATACACCAATATTAACTATAGATAGTATTGTATTTTTCCAAACTTGTGTCGAAGATCTTCGGCATATTGCACTTAAACTGAATCCTGGAGTATGTTGGACCTGCAACAATACAACCAGAATAGTAGATTTTGAAATTTACTATTCAGTCTGAAGATCCACTATTCTTTTAGGAACCGAAGTAATTATAGATAGATTTGTGACTAGAAATTGAAAAATTAAACGAGACTTACCTGTAAGGTGAAGTTTGATTTTGGTTCTGCGAATCATTGGTCTGGAGCTATAGGAGTCATGTGAGAGAGCGCGCGAACCAGATGGATCAGTATTTAAAACAAGCCTGGAGCACTCGTACCAAATATGGGTTGGGAAAAACCATTTGGGTGGGCACATGACTCCTATAGCTCCAGACCAATGATTCGCAGAACCAAAATCAAACTTCACCTTACAGGTAAGTCTCGTTTAATTTTTCAATTCTGCTTCATCATTGGTCATTGTCGCTATACGGAGTCACGTGAGATTTTAAAGCAGTACGAGTGCGGAGGGAGTAAAATATCCAGTCAAATGGCAAACTCCCATGTTCATTATTTATACATGAACACATTAACATAACATAATTATATAACATAACATGGCGTATTAAACGCAAACATTAACTGTCTCTGCATTTTTGCAGTAAGCTGTTGCCAAAATTGTCCTTACTTATAATAGGTTTGTTATAAAACCTTACAAATGTTGACTCTTGAGTCCAACCTGCACTTTCCATGATAGTGTTAATTGAAATATCCATAGCTTTGGCTGCCGATGTCGAGGCTGAACGAGTACTATGCGCTCCAAACTTTTTCGTGTCGATACCAGCAAGTTCAAGTACTTTCTTTAACCATCTGCTTACAGTGTCTGCAGAAACCGCTTTATATGGTTTTTAAAAACTTATCAATAATTGAGCTTGGTTACCTCTTAAAGCTCTTGTTCGGTCGATGTATCTTTCTAAATGTGTTACAATACACAATGCAGGGTCAGGTTTAAATGCTAGTAGTTTAATAGG